CCTAATAGAAGTCTCACTTCAGATGCCTTGCCCATTGTAACATTGGGTCATTTGGGTTTTTTAAATTCAGCTCTGAGAGTGTTCAGGTGTAAATTCTTTGGGTATAGATGTGCAGACATTTTCTCCTGTTCTGTGGCTTGTCTTTGCATCTCAGTGGTGTCCTTTGAAGCACGGTTGTTTTTAGTTTGGATGAGATCCAGTTTACCTGTTTTTTTTCTTTTGTTCTTTGTGCTTTTGGCTAAGAATCCTTTGTGAAATCCAAGGTTATGAGGTTATGAGAATCCCCTCTGTTTTCCTCTACAGGTTTTACAGTTGGACTCTTAAGTGGGTTGGACTCTTAAGTGGGTCTCAGATCCATTGTTTCTTCGTTTTTCTTTATGTTCGGAGGTGCAGCCCAGCTTCATTCTTTTGCATGCGGCAGCCCATTGTCCCAGCCCATTTGTTGAAAAGACTATTTTTCCCTATGGGACAGTCTTTCTCAGAAGCCCTCAGCATGGTCTCTCCACTTCGTTGTTGGTCTGTGCATCGGTCCTGATACCCACTCCACACCATCTTGATCACCATGGCTTTGTAGTAAATTTTGAGATCAGGAGACACAAGTCTTCCTCCCATGTTCCCCGCTTTCAAGCCTGCGGTATCTGTTCTGAGCCCCTGCAGTTCCGTGTGAGTTTCAGAATCAGCTTGTCAGTTCTTCATGGAGGCCCGCTGGGTCCTGGGATTGTACCAAATGTGCAGATTGGCCCTGGGTGTCTCTGGTCCCGACAGTGCCAAGTCTTCTGTTCCGAGACATGGGACATTTCCTGGTCACCTAGATCCCGCCTAGTTTCTTGCCATGTTGCTTTGCTGCCAGTGTGTTTGAATGGCTCCTCATGGTGGGATGGGCACAGGAGTGGTGCTATTTATATAGGACACAGGGCTGTCTTCCTGTCCCAACACTTGGCTGTCCTGGAGACGGGTCTCAGGGCAGGGTTGTCATTACCCGTGCACTTTAGCGCCCACCAAAATATGTGGCACGTGGGCTCCCAGGCATGGAACGGTGTGCCAGACTCACTGCGCCACCCCAGGCTGTAGTCACAGCAGCAGCCTAGAAGTTTGTCTGTTACCCCAGCTGTCTTGGGGCACAGTCCCATCTCAGCTAGAGCAGAGGTCCCAGGCCCCAGGGGCTCCGGCGTGGCCTCCTTTTGGAGGGGCCAGGAATGTTCCCTTCACGTGTTGAGTGTGGCGCAGGAGACCCCTTCCTGGGATGCCAGCTGCTCCCGCCCTGAATGACGGCTCCACCACTGTGTTCACAGCTGTGCTGAGGGCATCCAGGCTTGGAAATCATATCAGATGGACAGACAGGTGTGTGGGTGGTTAGACAGAGGGAAGAAGGAAAGGATGGCAGGAACAAACTGATGAAGGTCAATAGCCCAGGCCAGAATCACAGTGGGGCATGAGAAGGTGGGTGGTGCCCAGTCTGTCCCTCCCGTGCCACCTCTAGGGGCTCTGCCTTCTCTGGGCATTAGACAAGGAAAGTCCCCTGAGTTTACAGAAAGGTGAGTAGCTGCCCAGAATGTTGCTGTCTGCACAGGGCCCTAGAGCCCATCCTCCTCCATCCTTGGCCCTCCCGGGTGGTGGGTTGTGACCGCCGCTAGTTGCAGAGCCCAGGCTTGTTCTCAGCCCTGGTCAGCAGTGCCATCAGCAGGTCACTCCAGCCCTGGTGGCAGATGCCCAGTGAATGCTGTCCGTGATCCAGGACCTCCTGCTCTAGGTGGAAGTTGGGCCATGGGAACCTGCTCCGACCCTGTTGGTCTCACACTGTGAGGGGCTGAGGACAGGGCTGGGGGTTGGTTGCAGCATGGACATGATGACTTTGCACACACCAAGCCTTAGTCCCCAGTGGGGTCAGCAGTGCAGTGAGCGGCACCTTTGGGGGCCAGGTGGTGACAGGATTGGCATTTAAGAACTTCTTGGTTTTATCTTCTTTCTGTTTTGGTTTCATTTCCTTAATCTCAACTGATTCCTGATTTTGGTCCTTAAATCCTCCAATATGCAGAATTGTTTCGTGGACCTCAAGCTCCCCATCAAGGGGGAAACCTCACCCCAGGATGATGGGCCAATCACAGGCACCCTGCTGGAGGGTGGAGAGGCGGGAGGGGGTGGGGTTGCATCTCTGGCTCTGTTCCTGACCATGGAACATGGGGTGTTACTAGGACAACTTGTACCCAGGGAACTTGACATCCTCGGGCACTGCTGGGTCCAAGGCCAGCACTGGGCATGCCACCGCTGAACTCCTGCCCCTCCTGCAAGTCACGCTGCCTGCTAAGCGGGAGGTTGCTGGGGCCAGGTGAGGCCTCGCTGGGGGGCCCCCAGGACGGCACTGCCTCCTCCCACCCAGGGGTACCTTCAGGAGGCCAGTGGTGTTGAAGCCTAGGGAGAAAGAGTGGGGTGAGGCCGGGGGGGAGGAGGATCTCACTGCTCTGGGCCAGAGGAGGGCCAAGTACATGCCATGTGGCCTCATCCTTGCTGGAGGTCAGGAGACTCCAGCCTGCCTGCTATGCAGCCCCTGAACTAAGAAACCTTGTACATTTTTAAAGAAGATTTTGGGACACATGCAAGTTTTCTGAAATTCAGATTCATGTTTCTGTGCCCTCAGCTCTGTCAGCCGGGCCTGTGCTGGCCTCGTGTGCCCCAGAGCTGCTTTCTTGGTGCGGCTGCTGTGCTACATGGTTAGGACGGGGGCAGGGTGACCGCACAGCCCTGTGACTGGCTGGTCTCCGCAGAAGGCAGCCCTCACCCTCTCCCCACACCCTCCTTGGCTCCTCAAGGCTCTTTGGGGTGGTGGAGAGGTAGATGCCATCCAGCCCACAGAGGCCCAGGAAGGCCCGTGCTGCCCATGAGAGGGGCCTCCTGAGTGTATGGGGGTGGCTGGATTCTGCACACTGGGTTATCTTACCCCAGCTATAAAACTGGATGAAGTAGCAGTCCTTCACCCTAAGAGTCTGTGATTCAGCCAGTGTTACAGGATGTCTCTTCATCTTCTGCGGTTTACAAGGTTCTCAGTAAACCTGTGAAGAGCCGCTTGGATTTTCTCCCACCCCGGCCCAGTCCTCTCCCATTGGGCCTGAGTGGGTGGATTTCCCTCCCCTTCTCCTTCTAGAAGCACTGAGGAAGCGGCCAGGCGAGCCATGTCTGCAAGCCCCATTTCCCTCTGCAGTGGCCTCTGCCATCATGCCGGGGTGCAGGGGGGTCCCTGGTCCAGGTCAGCATGTCCGTCTCCCCTGGCCTCTTCCATGAGGGGATGGCAGGGCCAGCCACTAGCTTGTGTGATATGACATCAGGGGACTGTTTTAGAGTCCAGGGTGGCACCAGGAGGGGTGAGGTCTCTTTCCTTCTTCCCCATTCCCTCCTCCCTCCCTACTGGAGGCACATCCGGGGCCCTGGGACAGTGATCGCCCACAGCTGACGGGCTCTGGTCCCAGTGAGGTGCCCTGCAATGGGCACAGCCTAGGCCAGGCCTAGCCATCCTTCGGGGACTCGGACAGCAGTGGCTTATAGCAGCCTGAGCTCCTGGGAGGCCAGGAGCTTACTGCGCTCAGCTTCTTCACCTCATGGGGTACGTCCACACCAGCCTTTCTCCTGAAAGCATGGGATGACCCGAACACAGGATGTGTTTCCCTGTTCTTTAAGAGACAGGACAGTACATGGGCAGAAGCCCCAAGGGTAGCAGGAACTCATTGCCAACAGGTAAGTTCCCCTTGGGAATGTGCAGGGCTGGCCTGGCTTGCTGGCTATGCACCCCACTCACAAGAGGCTGGTGGCACCTGAGGGACGGCGTGCCCACCCAGTCTCTCACTGCTCTGCAGCTCACAGCCATGAGCTGCAGGGTCTCAGTGCTTGGCAGGAGCCCTGGCCTGTGCATGTGCGCCTTCTCATGTGTTTATTAGCTTTTTGGGTATGTTTTTTTGTAAAGTGTCTTCACATTTTTTGCTCATTTTTAGGTTGAGTTGTCTGATGTGGTCTTGTGTATTTCTTGAGTTCTTCGTATGTTGTGGATCTGAACCCTTTGTCACATGTGATTTTCAAATAGCACCTCCTGCTCTGTGGGTACTTGTCCATTGTTCTGGTGGATGGAAGTACTTAATTTGCATAAGATCAGTTGTACTTTTTTTTTTATTATTTTATGGCTAGCACTTTCTGAACCCTGTTTGAGAAATCTTTGTGTACTCCTAGGTGACAGAATGTGGTGGAACTGATGTTTGTGTGTAGAATGAGGTTGAGGACAGAGCAGTGTGTAGTGACCCTGCACTTCCCTGCCCCTGCACCTCCCTGCCCCAGGTGGCTGTCCCCTGCTCCAGGGCTATGTGGTGCTCCAGGTGCACTCCTCCCTCAAGGATGCCACGCACATCCTAGCCCTGGGTTTTGTGGGAATGTCAGGTCGATAGGCACATTCCTGAGCCAACCACACCAGTGCCACGTTCCCTCATTCTCCATCGGTGTGTGGTTGACCTTGTTTCTCTTGTGGCACAGGGCATCTTCCAGGCTGGCAGGGAAGTGATGGGAACGTGGCCACATAGGCTCCCAGCCTCATTAACAGCCGGGAAACTCAGAGAAGAGGGAGCCTCCCTCCCAGGCACTGTGTGGAGCTGCAGAAAGTGCTGCGCTTGGCTAAGCTAGGGCCTTGTGTCCCCTCTCACCCTGTTCCTGTGGTTAGGCAGGAGGGACCTAGCAGGCGGCCAGGCCTTGGTCCTGCACCTGTCCATGGGACACAGGGAAGGAGCCACTCTTTCAAGGAGATATGGCTGCTAGGCAGGCTCAAGAAGACAAAAGAACAGAACACTGTGCTTTGTGTGACCCATGTTGCATGTGTGCCTGGGCCATGGTGACCCATGCTGTGTGTGACCCATGCTGCGTGTGTGCCTGGACTATGGTGACCTGTGCCGTGTGTGACCCGTGCTGCTTGTGACCATGCTGCGTGTGTGCCTAGGCCATGGTGACCCATGCTATGTGTGTTCCTGTAGGGTGACTATGACCAGAGCAAGACCAAAGTGCTGCACATGAGCCTGAACCCTGCCAGTGTGGCCAGGCAGCGCCTGCGTGAAGACCACAACCAGCTGCAGGCGGAGTGCGAGCGGCTGCGAGGGCTGCTGCGCACCATGGAGAGAGGCGGCACCGTCCCAGCTGACCTTGAGGCCGCTGCAGCAAGTCTGCCATCGTCCAAGGAGGTGGCAGGTAGGCCCCGGCCTTGTCCTTGACCTCCCTTGGATAGGTCCATCCATGTGCCCTGTCAGGGCAGCCTCTAGCTGTCTCCTGCCTGTTGTCCCCAGAGGGTCTGTCCTCCCCTTTGGGCAGCTGGGCCAGGTGGTCACTGGGGCAGAGAACCCTGGCCCTGTGTTCCTGAGGGACTGCGCAAACAGGTGCAGTCGTCCCAGTCTGCAGGCAGCAGTGGAGAAGCAAGGAGCTGAAATATCAAGCCCCTAGAACAGACTTGTATCATTTATCAGTTTATACACACCCCATTAATCTCAAGTAAATCCAATCCTCCACAAAAGCAGAGCCCATCTTTCACCAGCCTAAGTGCGCTTCACGGAGTCTGGAGAGCCCTTCGCAGCAAAGGCCTGCGGAAGAGTGAGGCCCCAATGAGGGCCAGTGGTCCTGCCTGTACCCTCCAGATCTAAGTAAGGGCTGTGGCCTTTGGAGTGCCGGCCTGTCCCCTGATGTGGTGAGGTGGTGCCGGGGTCTGCTCATGGTGAGCCTTGAGCGGTGCTGCCGGGGCCGTGTCCACTCTGCAGGGCGCCCTCACAGAGGAGCAAGGACCAGAGCCCAGAGAAGCGGGGCCGGGAGCCCAGATTCGCTGTGCAGTCTGCACCCCCAGCAAGGCTGTGGGGCTCAGGACACCCCTTCCAACTACATTGTTCTCTGCCGTTGGACAGAGCTGGGCATTGCCCCATGCTACCAGCTCTTGGAGGGACCTGGGGGAGGGCTCCCTGTCCAGCCCTTAGCAGCAGCCTAGAGCATGGCTTGGCGTCCCTTCACTCCTGTCTGTCACGCCTGCCTCTCAGCCTCTCCCTTGGGGGTGTCTGCAGGATCATCTGTGTCTGAGATGCCCACCCATCAGCCCTTCCCTTGCGGGTGTCTGCAGGGTCGTCTGTGGTAGGGCCTGTAGGCCACTGCTTTCTGTCCTTTAGCATCTCGCATTTGTTTCAGACTCACCTTTTATCTGATGATGCCCTCTCCTGTTTATTCCTGCATACTTGCCATCGGGCCCTGGACCCCGGCAGAGCGTTCCTGGGAGCATGCAGGGCAGAGGTTATGTGGCAGTCACTTGTCTCCTTCCTGCAGCGTAGCACCCAGGCTGATGTATCAGGCATGACTGTCCTCTGCACCACTCTTTTGTGGGGAGTGTCTTAGGTGGGGTCTTCCCTCCGTCCTGTGCGCCCCCCATAAGCCAGGCATGCCCTGAGTGGTGGTCCACCCTCCTCCCCAGTAGCGTGGTGGGGGTGGAGGACAAAAGCCAGAAGAGGAGGCCTGTCTTGCCAGATCAAGGAGTTAGCTGATGGCAGTCGGGGGCTCCTTTCCAGCTGCCCACCCGCACAAGGGCAGCTCCCAGCCTCCACTGTGGCTGTGATGGCCTGAGCCCCCATGTCCCCAGCCCCTCTTCCGGCCCAGCCCTGGCTCCCTCTCCTGCCCTGCATTCTGCAAGTGTTTTTGGCAGGTTTCAGAACAGAGCATTTAGACTTGGAGCCGTGTTTGTTTTTAGGTGGCTCTGCCCTCTGGGAGAGGGTTTGGGAATGGGTCTTCCATCCCCTACTGTCACGGACCCTTGCCTTGCTTGTACGCCCATTTGCTCGTCCGTTCATTTACCTGTTGTCTGGGTCTCTGCACAGTCTCGGGCACATGGGTGGTTGGCATCTGGCTGTGACAGGCGTCTGGGCCTCGGCTGATAGGGGAGCAGGGGATGTGAAAAGGCATGTCAGAGCTGACCATGGAGAAGTAAGGGCCAGGGTGGCCTAGAAGCCAGGACGGGGCAGGTGAGCAGAGGCCTGGGATAGACGGGGCCCACGCCACATCATGCCCTCCAGGAGGTGAGGGTAGGTCAGGCATCCAGGCCCCAGTGGCTGATGCAACTCATGTCCATGCCCCCTAAAGTCACAGTGATGGCAGTGGCGTCTGTTTTTGTGTGAGGCCTAACCCCACAGAGAGAGAGGATACAGCAGCAGACTTGAAATCTGGAATGAGCGGGTGAGCCGTGAAAGGACTGAACTGACCCAGGGAACCAGAATCAAAGCAGCAGGTAGAGCTGGGAACCTGCCTGAGTGATGCCTCAAAACTCCGAAGTGGCCCAGGAGCCGGCTGTAAGTGCATTAGGGGAGGGAAGCCACTGGCTGAAGCATGCTGGATCCAGATGCTCGAGAGCTGAATCAAGAGACGGGTCCCCGGGATCATCTCACCATTTGTGCACACAGGACAGTTGCCTCTCCCAAGCAAAGACGAAAACTCTGAAACAAGCCAGCAGCCTCTTCTTGGAGCAGTGATCCTTAGAGTGCAGTCCCCAGGCTGCTGCAGCCTCCCTGGGAGCCTCTTAGAAATGTGGATTATCGGGCCTTATCTCACACCGGCTTGGCTGGAGGCCTGGTGGCTGCCAGCAGTCTGTGCTAGGCGGCCCTGAAGACTACACGGATGCTTGGCAGGTTTGTGGACCGCTGCTCTAGAGAGGGCAGGCGAGGTCCCTGGACAGGTCCGAGTTGGGACAACAGGCCTGAACTAAGCCCAGACCGCACCCCCTACCACGTGCCCTGCGGAACACGGGCAGCAGGCGTGACCCTAGAGGCCACAGTGGAAAGACCTCCCTGTGGAATCTGAGCAGCCCAGAAGGACCTGGCGTTGGCAGTTCCCCAGCTGGACGGTTCTCATCAATCGCTCCCTGGGGAAAACCGCCACAGGCGGCTCCATGCTCCTACCTGGAGCATCCCTGAGCCTTTAGTGCCCTCTCCTAGTGAGGATCTGCATCTTGGGATCTCGTACCCCTCACCCCCAAGCCCCGCATCACGTCTGAAGGAAGAAGTACATGTATCTGCAGGGGTTCAAGGTCTTAACTGGACTGTCCCTGCACCCTGTCTCAGGAATCTGGCAAAGGATGTCCTCCCAAAAGGTGAGGGAGTAAAGCAGAAAAGAACGTGGCTGTGGCACACAGAGCTGACCGCAGGGGCTTCTGCTGCAGGAGCAGAGAAGGAAGCTCTTAGGCCTGGGGAGCAGCCGGCAGGGGCCGGAATGGGCCAGAGGTTCTGGGATGCAGAGCAGGAGCTCCCACTGCAGAGTAGAGAAGGAAGCCCCCGGGTCCAGGGAGCCACCAGCAGGGGCTGGAACCAACCAGAAATTCTGAGACATCTCTGTTCTGGTGAGTCAGGTGTTACTGGCATGGGCCCTTGGCCGATGGGAGCCCCAAACCCCAGCCTCTGGTGCTGGCTCTGGTTCCTAATTTGGCCTCCCTGCTGCATCCAAGCTGGGCCAGGGAGATTGTTAATTGCAGCTTAATTAGGTAATACATTAATATTAAAATAATCTAATCTTATCAGAGCAGCATGTTGAAGGTGATCAAATTTGTCACTGCTTGTGTGGGCGCAGCTGATCCTAGAGGTGTCTCTGGACATGAGGGAGACGGGAGGGAGGGGAAGGGTGGGGGATCGAGAAAGAGGGAGAAGAGATGCTGAGAGGAGAAAGGAGGAGGTGGAAGAAGAGAGGGGAGGCCCAGGAGGGGAGGAGGGAAGGAGGGAGGGGAAGATGGCTGGCCACCAAGGTCTTCCACCTGGAGCCCATCTGCTCTGCCCTAGGGAGGAGGGTGCCCTCGGGAGAGGCCTGGTTTGGGGGCCCCGCCTGGGCTGAGGCAGGGAGCAGTGACTCTGCCTTTTTGTTTTGTCCTGTGCGCTGCTTCTCTCTGTATCAGCACCTATCCTCTGCGGTCTCATGCTCTTCCCGTTTGGCTGGCACTGGCCCCAGAGGTGGCCCTCAGTGAGGTGTCCTGATGGCCACTCTGTGGATCACCAGGCCAAGCACTATGAGGAGCTGCCCATCGGCCTGGAAGTGCTGAGGCAGGTGTGCCCTCCCATAGCCAGAAACCAGTGCCCAGCTGTCACATGGCACAGGCCTGTGTTTACATAATGCCCCACCCCATGCCACCTGGGCAGGGCCATCACCTGCCCACGCCTCAATTTGTTCAGTACAAACACGGTCCTATGCTGACGGCTGAGCGGCTCAAATACGATTGGGGTGCAGGAGCTTCAGCCTTGCTCGGCAACTGATGGGTGTTGGAGAAGAAAGGCTGAGAGTTCCATCTTGGGCTCCTCTAGGGACTGATGGGTCATGGGGAGCCGTGGCAGTCATGGCAGGTGTTCCGTCGTGGGCTCCTGTAGGAACCAGTGGGTCATGGGGAGCAGTGGCAGGCATGGCAGGCGCTCTGTTGTGGGCTCCATGGTGGGCTCTGCCTGTAGTGTTGGAGACAGAGAAGTGATGTGACAACCAGGGCCTTGGGCACCAGCTGGTCACTCTCCACTGCTTGGAGAAGTAGGTGCCCTCCACGTGCTGCCTGGTGCTGCCCATGTTTTTATTGGATTGTTAGTATTGAGTTTGGGGTGAATCCGAGTCCAATATGTAACAGATAAATATCTTCTCCCAGCCATTTCCTCATTTTCTGACGGAGTGTTCCTCAGAGCACATACTTTTCATTTTGGTGCATGCTAATGATCAATTTTTCTTTTACAGGGGTCAGATTCAGAAACTCCATGCATAACTCCAGGCCAAAATATTTTTTCTTATGTTCTTTACTAAAAGGTTTTAAGTTTCACATTGAAATGTGTGATCCATTTTGCGTTAGTTTTTGCCTGTGGTGTGAGATTGAGGTCAAAGTACTTTTTTCTTTTTCGTTTTCATATGGATGTGCAATTGTGCCATTATTGAAGACTGTCCTACCACCACTGAATTATGTTTGTGCCTTTGTCAACAAACAGTTGACCATGAGTTATGGGGGTCTCTTTCTGTACCTTCTATTCTGTTGCCTTGATCTAAGGGTCTGTCCCTTTGCTGTTAATAATACCACCTTGTATTGACTGTAGCTTCATAGTAAGTCTTGAACTCAACAGCACAATCCCCTACTTTATGCATGCAAGATTTAGATTCAATTTATCGTTACCTACAAAATGCCTGTTCAGAATTTTATAGGAATTAGTTAAATCTGT